CCCCCCCACACACACACACACATACACACCCCTGCCATGTCAGGACCTTTAATTTCCCATCATGCCCTGCAGGCGTAGCCAGAGCATATTTACAGACATGTGCGGAGACAGCACTGCTACACCCTGCAGCACAGAGCCCACAGCCTCTGCTTCAGTGTCTTTTCACTCAGCATCTCCACATAATGCAGCATAATTCTTTGTGGCTCTAAAGACGCTAGAAGAATTTTAAATTCATGCTTAGGAAATAAAAAAGAATGGTTATAAAATTTGTCAAGGACTACTTTATCAAGACAACAAAAAAAAAAAACAACAAAAAATCAATTTTTATTACGATGGTAACAAAAACTGACGATTAATTTTGATTTTAAAATAATCATTGGCAACTTTTACTTTTTAAACAATTACAAGCAGCAGGACAAATATCTGTAGAACAGAATATACAAAGCTACACAGCAAAGTGTTTGACAAGATTTTGATTCAATTAGTGAACTGAATCAATGTGAGTGACAGCTCAGTGTAAACACTCTGCCAGGTGAAATGGCATCCAGGGACAGCAGGGCAGCCATCTGTGATGAATTAAGTTTGATTAACCGCTTGATGTTGTGTTAATTATTGTCCCATTGTAACCCCTTTAATTGGCTTTAGCAGCCAGAGGTGAAAAATAAATAAATGCAAACACAACATTCATTTTGTTGTGTAATAGTAACATGTCTTCCTATAGCTCAAGTTATACTTTATTACCTGTACATACCTACTAAGTTTAAATAACTGTATACAGAACTTCAAACTCTTCTTAAATACATCAAGCAGATAATGGAGTTGTTTGTTATTCTTCCTGTGTTGGTCCAAAGCCAGAGTAAATCAAAGAAAATCGTTACTCTCTGAGGTGAGAAACAAAAAGGGCTAAAGAAAAGCAAAGCGAGTTAATCCAAATTAATCCCATCTAAATTTGAGATCAAGGCAATTCTTACTCCTCCTTTTCTTGTCTGGGGGCCTCAGTCCTCTAGTTACACACACGTGTTAACCTTGTGCGCACGCCGCCATTCTTTGATTAGGACAGGGCAAGGACATCTAAAGAGGATAAACTAGCAGAAAAGGAAAACACCTCAGCCGAATCCACAAAGCTCTCAGGTTATACACAGCTTTGTTGGTTGGGGGGGGGGGATGCTTAATAGTGTTTCAGCAAGTGACAGCTTTGCTTATTTTCCCTGCTGTCTCTTGAAAGTAAAAGCAAGCCAGCAACTATACAGCATCGCCATATCACAAGAAAATAACAAAAGAATTGTACACTCAGTACCTTTATATACTGTGCCCTGTGTTAGTAAGCGACATGATTTTRGGGTTTTTCATTTGCTTTAAATGCATATTTAACAGGAACCTAATACATAAAAGGAATGCATATTTGCAACTGCTTATCATGACACCAAGACCATCTTATGTTGAAGAATTAGGAAGTTATGGCTATTTTGGTCAAAATTTGAAAAAAAATATTATGTKCAACCACATGCAAGATCTGATATGATGGGAGAATGTGTTGTGAATAAATGGCAGTTGCTACCACACCAAATTTTAGCTTAATATTTATGAAATTCACTAAGGCAGTGTTGGRCAATCCTGGTCCTCGAGGGCCAGAGCCCTGCGTGTTTTTCTTTATTCCCTGCTCCAACACACCTGATTCAGTCATTGAAAAACCTCTTCCAAGTCCTACAGAAGTCTGATAATCACCCATTCATTCAAATCAGGTGTGTTGGAGCAGAGAAACAAGTAAAATGTGCAGGGCTGCTGCCCTTAATGCTCACTGCTGCACTAAGGTATGCCATTTTTGTGAAGGCCTTTGTGTACAGCAGCTATCTATGTTGGGTTAATGAAAAAAATTAATAAGTTGTAGATGATCAAAAAGAAAAAATAAGTAGGTCCTCTGGATGGGTTCTTCTTTAGTGAAACGTTTCGTCTCTCCTCCAAGAGACTTCTTCAGTCTGATGAGTTTCAGGTGAACTCAGCCTTATAAGCGCTGCCTCCACATGGACAAACAGGCTAGTCAAATGCAAAAGAGGGCCATCGCCTAACAATAGGCTTGATTAGCTCTATTGTTCATGGAGGGTCATGTGCCCCATCACCTGACTTATTGGTTTGGATGCTTCGGCTGTGGTTATTTGGTGTTTTGTTATGTGTATGTAGTGAGTGCAAGCGGGGTTCAACGTCCTCTTGTTTTTTACTTTTACTTTACTTACTACTGTTTTTACTGAGATGCATCAGGACAAGTTGTAGATGAGCATCCTGTAATTTATTTCTGAAAGTTATATTACAACACATCTAGTGCTTTATGAGATATTTTGCTAACAAACCGATAGAGTTAGTAGAATAATTAGTGGCAAGAATCTGAGTTCAGGATCACTCTCAGGYACTAAAACACAAAATTTTASCTCAGTATTTTTAAAATTGACTGAATGGTAGCTATTTTGTGTTGTTTCAGATTATTTCACTTTGGCGGCCATCTTGAATTTGGTTGACTCCAAAAGTCAGTGAGTTGTGGATGTCAACTCAGTGATTAAGTATGACTTGTTTTTTGAACACACACAGACATGAGTCAAAACATGATCGCACCCCCTTCTCCTTCGGCGGCTGGCTGTATTAAATCCTAGACTCGATTTTTTCTGGACAGTCAGCATGTCGGAGGTATGCAAGGCAATTTTGATGTTTGCTTTGCTGCAAGACAAGTACTTAGTCTGAACAACAAACTTCCATGTTTATTTGTAGGCAATCTGGAAGCAATAGGCACATTAGGGGTTGACCACAGTCCCCATGCTCCCACGCTTAAGCTCCCATGGTAGGAGAACTGGGCCAGAACACTGGCCTCCTCCCCAAAAGCAGGGCCTGGGAAAAGAAACCCAGAGGTCAGCCCGCTTGACTTCTCTCCCTGTGGTACCAGCCTCACCCGAGGTGTACGACTCCGAAGCTTAAATAAAGCAAGAGATTTATATCTCACTGAAACAAAATAATACACATACACAAAACAAATCAAATTATTAGATGAGTTTTTACACATGAAAAAAAAAACTAGAATCATTGCTTCTAAACACATAACCACAAAAAATGCATGAATCAGTTTAAGGAATGGTGCAGATGACAGACTATAGAGATCAACTAAATTGAGTTGGCTATCAGGGAATACCACAAATCAGATGTCATCATCTTCATCAYTCTTTATATAAATAAGAACATGGGAGGATTTTTGGAGTGAAGATCAAAATCCTAATTTGGTTGCTTAAGTCAAGTCAGTCAACAAATGTCAACTACATCACCAAGAGATGTGAGGGGAAAAATTAAACAGAAGAACTAAAAATTGTCAAATAAACCAGATCAGTTTCTGACCTGCTACTGATATGCTGCTGCTGCAAGACTCACAACAATTCACAAAAAATAAAAACCACTCCTATATTTTGTCAAGTACATTTTGGAGTTACAGAGCAGAACGTCTTATGCCTCTCCCCGTTTTTTCTTTCTTTCTTTTTTTTCTTTTTTTCGTGATCCACAAGTAAGAAGACACTGAGCCCCGAGGACATGGAAGGGGAAGGAACTTGAGCTGATCTCAATTTCATGCTGTTAGTGAGAGATTTAGCGAGGCCCCATTGGGAATGACAATTGAGAAGAGGTTGAGTATTGTCATGGGGAGATACACAGAGTGACTGACAGCGAAGGTTATAACAGCGAACATGAGGACCTGGAGACACTGCAAGAGTTTAGTTTGATTMTTTTGTGAAATTTTTTACTGCTTCATCATAATAATGTGGACACATGTCTACATTTAAATGTGTGTTTTCGCTTTAAAAAGGAGGTTGTTGGTTATTATCACAAAACACTGCCTCACAACACATATTCCATCCAGCAGGATTTTCTAATACTTATTGGAACAAAGGCCATCCACACTTCGTAGAGCAAACMGTATCTGCAGCCAGCGTCAATTCTTGGCTTTGTAATGTGGTGATGAGACCGGGCACGCCTGAACAGTAGATTCTCTCCTCCCTGCTATATCTTTTTCTCCTCACTGCTTCTATTCATGTTGCACCTGATTGACAAGGGACTCCTGTCACCTCATGTTTCAAGTGATTTTTCATTTTAGCTTTCAAGAATCCTCTCAGAGCTGCTGTTTGTGCTACCATTTTACTGGCATGACTCAGATACAGAATATACTATACTGTATTATCATTTATAGATCACAGGCAATATAATATGTGGTCACAAATGCTGGAAACAGAATTTCAAAATCTTGATTTTAAACATTCTCCAAAATTTACCTTTCATTGCAATTTAAAAATGAACAAAGTTTGACAACTGTCTCGTGATCACATTAGTCACAAACATTTAAAGCATCTTTTCTTACTTATCTGTTAAAATCTTTAACTTAACATGGCTATAATGTTTTGCATCTGACTGAGTGATAATTGTTCTGTGAGATGAGTAAGTAAATAAATGCAAATTCATACCTAATTCCCAGGAAATCCATATCTCCATTTGTTTTTTTTTTATTTATACAATAAATGTTGCACATTATCCCATTGAAACAAGGCTCATCACATTCATGACTGACACAAAGTTCAGGGGTCTTATTACAAGAATCTTGGTAACTTTTCTTTGTTTACCTAAAAAATAAAAATCCACAAGGAAAGCTACCAGATCCAGGCAGTTATCTGTAAAAGTTTGGCCACATTATGACGTTTATTTTGTCTAACTACCCAATCAGACCCAAACAGCTCATCTAAATGCAATAAAAAACACACAATGCTGAACTACACAATAGTCTGAACTTTTACATAAACTGTATATTTATTTGAGTGACTACAATTCTTCCAGAATACCAAACCTCAAAAACTTCTTCATCCAGCAGGCGCGTTCCAAACACGGTGACCCCCTCTAAGCTGACCACAGCATCGTCCCCTCGCAGCAGATCCAGGGTCTCGACTTTCTCACAATCCAAATAAAGGGTCACGGACTTGTTGTGCACGCTAAAGGCTATTCTGTGCCACCTGAAAGAGCAAAGAGCGGCAATTACCAGTTTAATTCTGTGAACTGAGCAAAGAAAATTTGGAAGTAAAGTTTTGTGTGAAACATAATTTTTTCTCTCTGATCAATTATGTTGTGTAAAAGCTTAGAATACTTTCTGAGTGTGTCTAAAATCTATTCAGAGATACATGAAATTCTTTACTAAAAGACACTTTTGACTCAAATTGGAAATGGAAAGTTATAAAAACAGATCTTACGCAATCAGTTATTTATTGCTCCCAATAGTTTCAGGATACGAGCACAACTAGTTTTAGCTTGATATCTGCAAATCTGCCTGAGTTATGGCCATTTTTAGGCTTGTTATTTTGAATGAGTTTGATATTAAAAGTTAATGAGTAAATGTAAATCCAGTGATTACATTCTGAGCATTTCATTAAAATCCACCCAGTGGAATTTGAGATGTTTTGCTAATGCTGCAGAAAAATGAACACATGCACACAAATTTGAATTTCGATCCTTATTAGGACTGTTCATTGACTTCCATTCATTTACTGGTCATTTCAGCATTACCCTGATCCCTTAAAGGGATCCACAATGAGTTGTAACATTAGACTTTATTTGATAAACATCTATTTTAACTGTAAAAGAAAGACTGTAAAAATACTGTAGGCTGTTTAGTTTTGTAATTTTTTTAAATATGTTTTAACACAGATGGAGCCATTTTATTTACACACAAAGCATTCTGGATAAATGATGACGTGGATAGGTCTTCGGTGTGAGCGAGCTATATCCACCCTGAAGGTTAATCTTGGACAAAATCTGATTATCGACTCTTTTAAATGAAACCAGAGAGCGTTGACAGAGAGGAGAAGGTAGAAATGACTCAGCCTGTAACTGAAAATATGGATGGAGGACAACAGAGCTGCTTCATGGAAGAAGAACCTCAGCTTAGCCTGTTAGCCTTTGCGCTAGCGCTGACGCTATATTGCCTTATAAGTATTAGCTCAGCGCTAGCCTGACAAACAAACAAGCTAAACTGTTGTCCTCCATCCATATTTTCAGTTGCAGGCTGAGTCATTTTTGTGTTCTCCTCTCTGTCATGTGGATGGAGGACCTCAGTGATGAGAGCAGAATGTGTAGCGCTGAGCTAATACTTATTTATGCTGATAGCATTGGGGCTAATGCTAAATCTAACAGGCTAAGCTGAGGTTCTTCTTCCATGAAGCAGCTCTGTTGTCCTCCATCCATATTTTCAGTTACAGGCTGAGTYATTTCTACCTTCTCCTCTCTGTCAACGCTCTCTGGTTTCATTTAAAAGAGTCGATCATCAGATATTGTCCAAGATTAAACTTCAGGGTGGAAATAGCTCGCTAACAGTCTCTCACCGAGGACCTATCCACGTCATCATTTACCCAGAATGCTTTGCATGTAAATAAAATGGTCCCATCTGTGTAATATATTTTTAAACTTTTTAAAAATTATAAAAACAACAATCTACAGTATTTTTACAGTCTTTATTTTACAGTTAAAATAAATGTTTATCAAATAAAGTCTAGCGTTACAAATAATAGTGGATCCCTTTAACTTAAACCTAACCCCCAACCTAAAACTGGAGTTCCACCATATTGGGAACGGTCTTTGGTCTACTGGTCTTGACACGGTAGGTATGTATTCCAGAAACTGTCCAAAAAGTTACACAAAAACAAATTTTGTTTTGCTTTTCACCTTTKGCAAGCAACAGATGTCTGATTTACTGTAACAGAGGGGTTAAAGTCCCTTATACTCACTTTCCATCGGCCATATTGATCTTCCTGAAAGTGGGGTAAAGTTCTGGAGTGGGGTGTCCATGCTGGTCCTCATACAGGAAGACAGGTGACCTCCCCACTTCAAGTCCCAGCTGCTGCACCCCCTGGTCATCGTAGACCGACAGGAGGAAGAACTGGGAGCCTTTCGTAGCCCTGACGGTTGTCATCAGGGAGAAATTCTCAGGGAATTTAGAATCTGGATGGAGTGGAGAGGAGATGAGAGAGGTTCAGTCATAAAGAGCRGAGCGCAGCGGGAAGCATACATTTTCATAACATGCAGGCACCCCCCGCTGCCTGTGGGACCTGGATAAATATAATGATGAAAAATGTCGCCCATGAAAGCACTGAGTGCCCAGAAGGAGCGTTAAGTAGAGTTTAGTGAGATTTCTTAACTTTAACTGAGAGAATAAACCCCCTAAATTTGATACATTTCAATGCTTTCAATAATTTAAAGGATTAATTTCTGCAGTGGACTGAAAGGATTTTCTATGTGGTCTTAAAGGAAAATAAGGAAAAAAAGTCTCTACCAGGGTATAGCTGTTTAGTGGGAGCACTGAGCCGGATCTTTTTGATCTTGTAAGCCAGGTCCATCTCCTCCGTGCCCCTCCTGCTGGTGCAGAGACCAGCCTCCAAGGACACCCCGTCCATGTTCTCTGACAGCCCGAGCACTCGCAGAACATCAATAGGATCAGCTGGGAATGGAAACGAAATGAAAATTAACCATCTGCCCATGGTAAAGAGCAGACTGAGGAAATGTGTTCTGTTATTTCACACTTGCAAAGTGGAACGAATTCTGTCTTTTCAAACATGATATTGTGCTTTAACRGGTTATTTTATGCGTTTTTTGTAGATTTCTCCTTCCAGCTGCATAAAATGCTCTAAAACACTTATGTCAGAGTGAAACTTGTGGCAGATGATGGCAGTATGCTTGTACTCATGTCAATTTAACACTTAAATTCTGCCAGTGTGACAGCCCTTTGCTGTCTGGCTCAGTTAAATGTTGGTTGTTACTGAGCTGTAGAGTGGGATTTAGTGTGGCTGGAAGCAGGTTTTTAAAGTTTGGTGCCTTCCTGCCTCCTTTGAGTCGGAGGAAACACCTCTGAGATGTGGCGGCAGGTGGCCAGGCTTCTGTGGGTGTTATTATGGGACGGGGGCGGGGCGCAGACTAGCCTATAATCCTCAGGTACACCTGACAGCTGACACCTGCACACTGCACATCAGCCAGMACCAACACATCTGCATTTATCATCATCTAAATCACAAACAAGTGTTTGGATGAATAAAATATGTTCGGTGATGAGGCAAGCTACTTTTAATTCAGATAAAAGTTCTGGAATAAAGCAAATTGAGCAATAGTGGGGCCTTCAGGTCCAGAACTTTTAGCAAATTAGGATTTGGTATCCCATTTATTTATTAAGTTAAATAAAATCAATCAATAAAAAATTTTCTAATTACTGTGATCCTACTGAAAAATATTGAATCACTGATTTGTTTGTTTTCATTCTAAGCCTACAAACCAGTCACAACAAGTGATGCATGTGATGAAATTCTGTTTATTGCAGCAACTGTTGCCCCTCAGATCTGGGCTTCCTGTAGTTGCTCTCCTTCCAGTGAGTCTGTGCTTTGTTTGCAGTCCACCGCTCGTGTTATTAGATGTCTGCTGATAAAGCGCTGCCATGAGCATTAGTCAGGATCAGAGCTTTGTTCACAGCCAGTCTCCTACCAGCTGCTACAGAGAGCCGCTCAGCACTTACCATTCCAGTAACATTTCAAATGAGGAACCGAAACTCAAATTGCCTCCTGAAGCTCTGGCTGCTCAGAGCTTGCCTTTTATTCTCCTTGTTAATTAAACATGTGGAGAGCGTATACAATCTCCCAGACACCGCTTGCAGAAAAACACAACCTAACATTTTATGACTTTATTTATTTGCAAAGCAGACAGTTTCTTTTTTTCCCCCCTTCTCAGCTACCTCACATGGAAATGAAGTTTAAACTGGGTAAGGCAAAGAATTATAGACAGGTCTCTGAACAATAGAAAACAATGAACACAGAAAAAAAAGAATATTAAAAACATTTATATCAAATAGTTACATAACTTCACAAATACTAACAAAAATCCTAATAAACATTTGTCCACATTTCAAACAACTTTCAAAATGACTTTTTTACACCTGACAGCATAAATGTTGAGGAATTAGGAGGGTTTTTATCATAAAAAGTAAAACCCTAATCATTAAGAATATGTTAAATAACACATTGCTTTTTTATGCTTTCAGTATTTAAACACTTGGTATTTCCAACCTCTTCAATATGAGTAAAACTATCACAACAGAGAAGTTGAAGCTTCCTTCATATTGTATGTGTTCTGACTGCTGCAACATTTAACATACTCAGATGAAGTGTCCCTTTTTCTTTGCAATAAAAAAACAAGTTTACCAGAGTGGGTTTAAACTTGTAAATGTATATAGAACTAAAACATTTTTCTTTAATTATGTTTTAATTGTTAAATTTAGAGAGAATTGAATTAAAAAAACAATGGCTTGCAAAAGCTTATAATACATTTGTTATATCTAGAGAGGGAAAAAAGTATAAACTGGTGAACACAGGTTATTGGTCATATTTCACTGGTTTGTTTTTTGAGGTTTGACTAAAAATTTGTGTTTGCCTTTTGGTTAGATATGATCTTTTCTAAATCTGTTTTTTAACAAAAACTGTGTCTCATTGAAGTCATGTTAAATATTTTTTTCAATAAATTGACCAAATAGGTAGACAGTAAGTTTCTTATTGTTTAAATTACGTTTGGATTTTGTTCTTTTACAAGCATTTTTCAATAGTTTTTCTTTTTGTTGACACTGAATGCTCATTGCATTCATATTTGCATTGTTAAATGCTTATAACATTTAACAGTGTTATGAATGCTGTTATGCATCAGAGTCGGTCTTAAAATGAATTCTTATAGGTTTAGATTTATCAACAAAAGAATACAGTATTTAGAAAACTAATAAGCACATTTGCGTTTAAGAGGTGTTACACATTATCTGCTAGAAAAAACATTTTTTCTACTCGTTCTCACAGCTTATAGTGATTGCATTTCTAAATCAGTCATGAAAATGCATGTTTTAAAGCAAACATAATTTAAACAGTTTAAGTGTAACTGCTAACRTTTTACACAATCAATAGAGCAGGTTTTTAAAAAGTGCATTTTCATTTAGACTGCAGCACTCCTTTTTTAGCTGTTATTTCTATCCTTCGTCCACTGTTTGAGCCATGACAAACAAAATTATTAATTCATTTATCAACACCTCTTAGAGGTAAGCATGTTTCTCCAAACGTGATATATAATCAGGGAAATGTGTGCTGAAGTGGTATCACAATCATCCAATCAATTGTGGAGACAGAGATAATGGCTGTAGAGTTTACCCAAAGCATAATTACTAATCTTTTTAACAACAAAGAAACACTCAGAAAGGAGGAATATTATATAGTAAAAATAAGTGGTGAGTACAAATGTGTCAGCTCCTTATCTTTCTTCTGTGTTGTGCAGTATTCACTTTTTTTTCTGATCAACATTTTTCTAGTGTTGCAAAAAAAAATCAAAAAGCACAATGTGACGCACAGCAGATTTTTTTTCTTTTTTTAGGATTATTGTGTGATACATTCCTGCAAGCAGTCAGCACTCTRGTGGCACTGACAAATTTATTGACACTTAATGAAATATGTTGAGTGATGGACTCTTTGCAGATGGGTGGTACAGCTGTGCTGTCCCCAAAAATCGCTGTCGTTCAGCAAAAAAAACGACAACTAGGACCTCCTCGCAGGCTTTTAGAGATTTTTTTTACCCGTCACCTGTCAGGTTATTTGCTAAATCAGCATATTTGAAATATTGCATGTAGTTATGAAAAAAATGCTGATGTTTCTGTGGATTATGTAATACTGAAAGACATGTCCATAGATTAAAAAATAAATAAAAATTAACAAGCTTTTGTTGAACAAAATCAGAGTGAAAGTGTTTTTGTGCTAACTGTATTTTGATCTTTTACATGTCTGCTTGTTAAATATGACACAAACTAGTAAAGTGTTTAGGGGTATGAACGTTTTGCTTTAGGGAGAAAACAGCTAAAATACATGCTGTATCTGCAAATGTGTGCAGTAAGGATACTGCAACACTCAAGTGTCCCTTACGCTTGGAGCTAAATGCATTTTTCAAGAGAATCTGCATTCAGAGCACTTTAAATTCACTGTACTCTGCATCACGTCTGGTTTCTGATCCAGAATGTTTGATTTTTACCGACTTATTTTCCCCCTGATCTCAAACAGGCTTTTTGTGATTTTGTCATAGCCTAGTTTGATTCCTGACTGCAAATCAATTTCCGTTGGTTTAGCTAAGTTAAGTTTGTTTTCTAGTCAAAGGTCAGAATCCAAAACAAACACACTTTTTGTTTGTGCCTCTTATGTGCACACGCACAGAGGAGCTCATGATGATGTTACTAAAGCAAAGCATTATGGGTTTAATTGAGCTGCTTTCTTGAATTTCTGTCTGGGCATCCACATCAGCAACTCCTGACAAAACATACGGCTAATGCAAACTAACATGGTTATTTCATTTAAAGCATGTGTAACATAAATAGAATTTCTGCTTTTGGTTTTAAAKTTTAATGCCGGCCGGTTTTTCAGCATGTTTCAGCTTCTGGCTGTCAGATGTCTACTGACCTCTGACTCAGAAGGCAAAAGAAGAAGAATCAAAATGGGGAGAATTCACACACAAGCATCAGAAAATCCCTTAACAAAAATAGATTATTTTTACAATTATCTATGATTAAAACTATGTTGACTGTATGAGGTGCAACCTTATTAAGTTCATTGAGAGTACTTGGAAGAAATCTGCAACGAGCATGAGATAAAGCAAGAAGTGGCTGCTGAAGCAGCCTGAAAATGCAAGAATTACCCAATATTTCCTTTCTACACAAAGCATCAGGCAGAGAAGCCCAGAGTAATGGAAGGCTGCCATTAGCTGTCTGAATGCATGCAGCTATTGGTGAAAGAATGTTATCTCTTCCCTGCTTTAGATCCATTAAGTCATTTAGAGTTTTGCCAACTCCAGTAGCCTCTTTACATTTCCTGCAGCACTGACTGTCTGTACAAGTTTTGTTTGCATCTCATTAGTCTTTGTATCTTTACATCACTTCTCACACTAGAATTCTGGATGAGCATATTTTAACACTACTTATTAACAAATACACTAAACATTAAAAGGTGCATTAAGTTTGAATTGTCGGATTGGAAAGAAGTTGAAATTTGTATCTATTTTTAAAATGTATATTGACTGTAAATGATTTGATTTAACACACTAAACATCATCCATCTATCTGATGCACAAACTTATAATGAACCTGTGCATTTTCTTAGCCATGACTTTTGCCTAGGCAGCCATTTTTTGTTTTGGTTTTATTTATGAGGAAACTGTCATGTGACATTAAACAGACACAGTTTTCCAGATTGCAAATATCTCAACAGTCCATCTCACAAATTGAGTTCTGTCCCCAACAAATGACACCAATCAGTTTTGATGTTTGCATGTTTTGTGTCTCTTTTCTCATTTCTTCCAAACCCCGTGGCCACACAGCTCAGCACTATTACAGTGGTACATGGACATAATGTGATCTCTGTGTTTCTGAAGCAAATGTCTCTGAAGACAATTTGTATGACTCACACCACCTACACACTCTGAGCCCTGCCTGAAAATACCCTTCTCTCTCACTTAGACAGTACTACACTGTCAAAAGCTATTGCATCTGGGAACGAGGGGAATTTCAACAAGAAATGAAGCCAAAAAGAAATCTGTGCACTCAGATAGTCCCACAGCATCTTGGACCACACCCTGAGATGAGTGGAGGAGGCCTAACATTTGAATTTTGAATGACTGTTTAGAAAGGAAATCCTTTTTGGAATATGAAAATGCATGTTTACATCAAAATGAAAAAAAAAAAACCCCGTTGACTAAAAATCTACTTTAGTTACAAATGTTGCTGAATGAGAATTTTTGAAAAATCATTCAAGGGTGATGAGCTCCAAAATCATTGTGATGAATGTTGAAAAAAAAGATGAGCAATCAAGCTCAAGTGGTTGAAAAAATGCAGACGTATTTCCTCTCCGGCGGTAAGAAAGAATAAATGATTAGAGGTGATTGTTTGGCACAACTGTGTTCAGACATAAACATTACGAGTTGAGAACTAATACCGGCTGCACAGATGAAGAATTAAACTCACAAATGAGATTGATAAACTGTCTGTGCACACACAGCTCCATCAGAATGAACAAATACTCTCACTGTTTATTTGATGCTCAATTATATCAACCACAGAGAAGAAGAAAAAAAAGGCAATGCTTAAAACCTGCCTCCATTCATGGCCAAGTGTTAAACTGAGATTATTTTACACTAAGAAGAAACAGAGATGCAGCTATTTTTGTCAAACCTTGACAATGTGCACAATCTCATGCAATGTTGCAAACTCATGAGATGTATTAGCTCTCAAAAAAGCATTGAGGATGACTCTCAGCAACTACTTCGAACTTCTTGAATGAGTTTGCTCATTTGTTCTGCTAACAAGAAACACAGAAAGAGAAACATTGGCAAAAACATTAATCTCCTTTTGTCTTTGATGGCAGGTAATGAACATTTTGGACCTCYGTGTTTGTTAATATCTTTCACTGAATTTTGTTTTGTTTTCTGAGTCAAAAATTTACTTTAGCATAATGTATTTTTAAAATGTGTTTATTAAAACTGAACATGCTTGTGAAATCAACGTTTTTGTAATAAATATGAATGCATTTTTTAAAACAGAGCAATAAAAACACATTTAAAAATAATTCATGCCACTAAGATGAGCAGTTGTTGAGATATTTGCCTGTGAGGTAACAGGAAGTGACGACAAAGGGGAGTGTCTGCGTGTAAACACTGCAGTGCTACATCGGCTAACAACACACTGAAGAGAAGACTGATGCTTCTTTAGATTATTTTGAGTCTCTATCAAAGAGAGTTGAAAAAGACTCAGAGTTTAAATAAGGTTTCAACAAATAAAGATCAAGGAGTTCCTTTTGTTTAAGAGTTCCCTTKTGATGTCACTTCCTGTTTCACTTTGCTGAGCCCAGTTCTAAAGAAGCCAGTTATGTGACAAAATGAGTAAAATCCTGTKTATTGTGCCAAGTTTCTTAAAAATAAAGATGTTTTCTCTGACATTTTTGTATTTGAATGATATGCATGTCAAAGCAGTAGTCAAATTTTTTCATCATTTCCAAAATTCTGTGCTGAATGTGGGTCAGCGGCTGTGTTCTGTTGTCGGGGCTACCAGCTACAGTTTTGGTGCCAAAAGCCAGAAGATCTKGGTGGAATCTGGTTACATGTTTCCTTCCCGATCGCATCAGCACCRCATTCTTCAACCTCCACAGTTGGTTCTGCTCTCGCTTGTTCACAGCATGATGAGCTGACAGGCCAAAWGCCTCTTGGCCCACAGAGAAAACACCTGCCCCTCAAGGCTAAGCACCAAACCAGCGCTCAATGCAAACACAGACAGATGTTTGTTTTTCTCTTCACCCCTTATGAGGACTTTTTTTTGACAACTGCCTGTCTCTTGTATAAGCGTAATACTCTTTGCATTCCTAACATTAAAAGAAGTCATCCATGTAAGAAACTCAAGCTTGCAGTAGGAGACAGATACAGCAAAATGAGATCAGACGGAGTCTCACATGCACAGACACATGTGTGTGCAGTAACAGCACACCCTGGGCACACAGACTTATCTAAATACAAACATGCAAACAAGCATATGAAAAAGCTCCTTCAAGTTTCAACCCCAAGCTGTCATTTAGTCTCTGGGGCTTAACACTCAGGCATCTATTACAGTATAAGGTGTAACCAGGGATGCCAAAATCAAAGTTAAACTCACAAACACATCAATGTCATTTAAAGCCTGTATGTGCAAGTTGAGGAAAATTTTCAAAAATGATCTGACTTATAAAAAAAGACACCGTACAAACATTCTGAAGACTCCTTATTGGAAAATCMACCTCCAGCTAGTCCAACTTAACGTCGCTTGGAGAAACACCGAGCCTCAGAAGCCTGAAGGGAAGGAAATTTCTGGAAGCCAGATGTGTGTGGAATACTATAGATTTCAGTCAGGCGCCTCAAAGTGTTTTAGCATCATTTAGAGATATTAAAAGCTTGGAGGAACTCCAAACAGTTTGGCTCATCAAAAAGTCTGATAAGCAGTTTGATGTGACACTTGCAGCATCAGCAGCTAGACTCAGACATCAGCACATCTGACAGCTCTGATGTTTAATGCGTTCGTTTGGAGAGCACAGACTCAACACTGAGAGCTGTAACATTTATAAAAAGCACATTTTCCTCTTTTAAAGCTTTCCAAAATCAGATGCCCTTTCCATTTGTTTTCATTTGCCTTTAATTTACAAACGGATCAAAGGAAATGAGAATTTGCCGCGTTCCTCTGAGAGTCTGATGCAAGGTTGGCAAGAAGATTGAATCAAACGGGACGCAGTGAGGGGCCTGTGTGCACTATTTCCCTCCCTGTCAGCTGAGGATGAGGCAGGGCATAAATGGGGAGGAGGAGGAAGATGGCATGGACAAAAAAAGATAAGACATTCAAAATAAAAAAAACAAGCTCAGCTCTTCCTACTCCTGTTCTTTTTTTCATTTTCTTTTTTTCGTAACGGAACAGAAAAGGGAACAAAGGAAAAGAAAACTGAACACAAATGTGTTGAGGCAAAAGAACAAAGGACTCTGGTTAAGCTGTGCACAAGTGCAAGAATGTCTCACTTCCTGTCTGTAAACATGAAGGGCTCTCTCATCTCTCTCAAACGCACACAGAAAGCATATGGGAAAATTTCCTTCGCTGCTTTACACACATGCACATCCATGCTGAACATTCAAAGCCTCAAACACACACATGTATTATCTACAGCGAGCATATAACTGAGAGATCTGCACTGCCAGATGTGATGGGCTCTTTGAAATCATCTCTGCACCAGCTCTCATTAGTAGTGGACACAGCAGCCACCGGGCCACTACAATGTGATAAAGGTCAGTTGGCTCACTTCCTTCTGCTATCGTTTCATTCCAGTCAGTGCGTTTCAACAAATCCTTCCAGCCATAAASTGGCTGCATGTGGAAAAATGTGAAAATGAAACATCTTTAAGCCCCCTCCAGTTGCCACAGGGTTCGGTCCTGCTGTTAAAGCATGGCACTCCAGCAGGGATTTTTCTTAATCGCAGCACCTGAAGGAAGTGCTTTGCACCTGTTAAAGATAGTTTTACAAGGCCACGGGGAACGAGGACAGGTGTATGTGACAGACAGCTGTGAACCAAATGACCTAAATAAATGAACACACAGCTGATCATTTGTTGGACGTGCAGTGAATTTCATGTCACATTAACAGATCGAAGCAGCAGCTGTTTAATAAAGGCTCAATCTTAGCTGAAAAAAAAATGTAATTCCAATTCTACATGAGGCGTAAGGATCCGGGGATGAAACAAGTCAAAGGCCTCAGCTTGCCAGGGCAATTATGACCATGGCAGTGTGATTGTTGGTGCTAAGTGCCTTCACAGAAGACCCTTTGCAAGCAGAGGGCACATTAAACAGATCCATGACAGGAATTTTAATCTACTCAATTCTTTTCAGAGTTCAGTCACTCAGCTCCTTCTCAAGTCAATGTCAAACGTTTTCACGGCAAACCGACGCCGGGTCACAGGTAAACTCAAACATGACATCACAGACGCACCGACCTGACCTGACGCAGGAAGGGCTCCTTTAAAATGTTTCATAAAAACACAGCCGGGACAGGAAAACTGATTCAATCAACACGATCTCGTTTTTTTTTTAAAGTAAAATAACTACTAATTACAGTCATCACATGTCAAGTAACCTTAAAAACACAGTTTTAATGCAAGCCTGGGGCAACTCCGGTGAACAAGTTGCAGCTTCACCAAAACACTCGGAACGCGCGTCATCACAGAAATCAGCCTGACACATCGGGATTAATGCACAATAAAAGACTTAAACTGAAGTTTGGAGCTTTCCTGGAGGCCAGGTTAGAAACGCATGTGTCTTTAAAAGGGCAAAGAAACTTGAAAGTGGGGCAGTGCGTAATTTTAGGTCCTGTTGGGACTTTGAGCGACACTTTTCCCCCCATTTCTGACTCTGGGAGCTCCAACCTGCCTGACATCTTTCATTATTTAACTGCATGTGGTCAACTAGATACTTTACCAGCTTGAGCCGTCCATAGGTGAAGAAAGATAAAAAGAAACAGATGTATTCTTCTGCACAACCCGGTCCTTATTAAACTGTCCATCCTGCGAAGCGGGGACCCAGCGCACGCGCGCCTCCGCACCCAGAACTTAATTCTGCAGAAGTTCTGTTTGGAACTAGGCAGCCATGCGTGTGGAGGGGGGGAGAAGGTGGTCGGTATTCTCACTTCCTTGATTGTTGGAGAAGATTTGTTTTTGCTGGTTCCTCTCGGTTTCTCTCTGTCCTTCTCATTCAATCTCTCCCTCTCATCATCACTCCCTCCTCCTGCTCCCCACCCCTTCCCTCCCCTCCCACACTGGACGGTGTCCCGGGACGAACGGATGAGCCGTGCGTGTGCCTGCAGAAAAAACTCCCTCATAAATCAGTTTTATTGCTTGAGGAAATTTGTAAGGTCTTACTTTGGAGAGGTTGTCATTGCCCCCAGAGATGATGTGTGCAACACTTTCTAACCTCTTCACCTGTGAGAGGTTTGATTTTTGCGCACTGGCACAAGAGGGATCAAGATGCACTGTTTAAGTGATACTTCAAACAYATTAGGATCATTGTTGATCGGTGACAACGATGATGACAAGTTTTCTTCTCTCTCCATTAAAATGTACAAATTTAATTTTACTTCTGTTGCAAGAAGTCGACACTTAAGCTGGAAGCTGAATAACGTGGAGCTTAGTGGTCACTGGTTGTTAACAGGACAGTCGTTTTGTGTAGCTGCAGGCACAAATGGCTGGAATTCATTTTCTAAATTAACAGATTAATTTCAAACCATGCAGGTCTCAGATTTAGTCAAAACTATGAAGGTTTTGGATTCAACAAAACAGTAACATCCATGTCCCTAAGAAAACTAAATCACATATTACCACATATTATTCTTTATCAATTTAGAGGTTACTGCAACACTGTAAAAAATGAAATGTTGGATTTACTTAACCATGTTATGTGACCTGGTTCCACTTACAGTAGCTGAGTTGAGTAAATTCAAAGCAATATACCAGTTTTTAACCAAAGAACATGAGCATGTTAATTTGAATTTACTCAACTCAGCTAAGTAGAACCAGGTCACATAACATGGTTGAGTAAATCCAACATTACATTTTTAGAGTGAATATCATAAAAAGATGGGTCGAAACAGAACTGATAAAATAAGAAACAAAACCCACATAATTTTTGTAAATTTGCAAATAAAATTTGTGCATATCCTGTGCATTTTTTGTACAAAAACAAGCAAATATCAATAATGGCTTAACACAAAAGTTATGCGTATCCTAATGTATTGGCACAACGTATGCAAAACTGCATATATGGAAAACCGCAAACTCTTTTAAACTGCACCATTTGACCCACCTTTACCTGGAGGATACCTCGTGCAGGTGACATCTTTTACACTCTGTTGAAAAATAGCAACAGTGTTGATCATCTGTGGAATAAATTAGGCCTGTCAGAAATCGAATTCATTACATCGTATTCAGTTGAGACATGCTCCAAGATAAGACTTGAAAAGACCTTTGCTAATTGGAAAATTACCAAAGATAATGTTTCCAGAGTCCAAGCAACAACAGGCTTTTGTAAAGTAACTGTGAAATGAAATCCCAGAGAACAGAGAAAATGAGCCAAACCATCTCAAGGGAGAAAACTGTCAAACCTCAGAAAGACATAACCCACCGATGAAAGGCTATAATTGCTGTTGCATTTTTATTTTGAGCCAAACCAAATTGTTGGTCACAGTCATTTTATGTGAAATATCACCGACCCCAACCAGATTTAATGTGAATCAAAAATGTTTATTTTTCTTCATGGTTAAGAGATGACAAACATTATAATAAACCTTAGTTTTTTGTTGTTTTTTTTTAGAAAGGAATGCTCAAAAAATACAAACACACTAGATGCAGATTTTTCACAGATTRTGTGGAACTGATCAGAAAGTCTACTGAAAACTATAAAAACATAATGAGCAGGTTTGACAGAAACAGATCGTTGACTAGACTGAAGTGGGTAAACAACAGACCCTCCTGGCCTCCAACCATGTCCCTTCTTCGTTCTGTCTGAGCCAAGCTGAGTCAGAGTCACATTCCTGGCAGCTTTTAGCAGCTAGTTATTAAGAGTTCGGTGAGTAGTCTAAGGTCCTGGTGAGAAATATTTACACTACATGTGTTATGTCCAACCCTTGGACAGGTACAACTCAAACCCACACTCATCCCACATGCACAAAAGCTAATTTTAAAAAGGTCAGTTAATATGCAAAAGTGCATTTTAAAATGCAGTTCTTTTTGTGCTTTAAACACCAGTTGTGTCTTGATGTTACACCTGCATGACCAAAAATAAAACTTCCAAATTAAAGGAGATCAATCTACTTGTATAATCTCACTTTGTCAATCCATATTAACCAGTTATCATTTAATAAATCAGGCTGAATGTGAAAAATGGAAGGAAAATAAATTCCATTCATTAAGTTGGTATAAACATGTTTGTATCGACACAACACTGAGATAAACTGAGATCATGCTGGCAGTCCTTTTATCCTGGTAATCAATCAGCACAAACCAACAGAGACATTTTATTTTGCACTCATTAACAATTATGTGGAAAGACCAAGACAGTAAATTATATTTCATGTGTTTTGACATGTATCCATGGATTAATGGTTGGGGGCGGGATCTATAAAGTTTGCTGGAAGTAAATCAATCCCAGACTTTAAATAAAAGAAGGAGGAGGTGGGGGG